CCCTCCCCCTGCCACGACCACCCTCTCTTTTTGTCTCAGTGTAGCTAAATAATACAAAAATGTGCTGTCCATCTGTGGTTTGAGGGCTAATGGTAAGAGATGCAAGAGGCCCCAGAAGCAATTGCAAATCTGTGGCCTCAGATTTTCAACCAAAAGAACTCACGGGACACTAACTGCATTTTGGTCTCTTGGGACTGAGAGGGTCTTTTTTGCTTGTGATACTCAGCAAGTTTCCAGCACTGTCTGAGCACACAGTCAGTGTCATCTTTGGCTCACAGTTTCTAGGAGTTAATTGTTCTTTGCTCATCTGTTGCTAGCCAGTATTGCTGCTACTGTCCAAGATTAGTGGCTGTTTTATGAAGTATTCAGTTTGGTAGGAAAAAGTTTACCAAGCTGGTTTGATGGCTGTGCATGTCCTTGCGGTCTTTAACATGCCATCTCTTTGGATTTTTTTTTACAGAGCTTTCTGGGGTGCTGCATCAGTGTCACGTTCTGGCATCAGAAATGGTCCATTTCATTCATCAAATGCAGTATTACATTACGTTTGAGGTATATTCTATCCACCTAATTAGTTGCTTGAAAATGAAGTACTTTTAATATTCTGTATGTGTTGTGTGTCTTAAATTTCAAAGAGCTTGTCATCTAGCAAATCAAAACAGCCCAATCCTGAATCATTGCTCCAGGTGCTTGAATGTTCGTGGGATGAACTCTGGAACAAGGTCCAACAAGCACAGGACTTGGATCACATCATTGCAGCTCACGAAGTTTTTCTAGACACAATCATAGCTCGGTGCTTGCTGGATAGTGATTCCAGGGTAAGTCTTCTCCTTTGCATTAAATTGTAGCTTTCTGATCTTGGCTTATGCGTTAGGAACCACCTTCTCTTATGTTGTAGGAGCAAGGGGAAAAGTCATTTTTCTTCCTCTGATACGAGACCATATTATGGTAGGCTCTGTACATACTCCTCAGACACAGTGACAGATGTTGATTATAAAACTTGTTACAGTGCGGGCCAGTTGGTTTTGGTCCTAAGAAGCTGTGTGATCGTGCAACAGCTGACTTAGGGCTTTGCAAAACAGTCTCTCCAGCTGTTTGTAAAAAGATTTCATTTACTCATGCTCTGAAGAATGGTAGTAACTTAAAACTCTTTTGCTGTGCAACTGTTCCATTGTTTTGTTGCTTAACTGCCTCACAGGTACTTCTCAACCAGCTTCGAGCTGTTTTTGATCAGATCATTGAGCTCCAGAATGCCCAAGATGCAATGTACAGAGCTGCTTTGGAGGAGTTGCAGCTGAGGTTGCAATTTGAAGAGAGGAAAAGACAGCGTGAGCTTGAGGTACAGTAAGGTTTACTAGAACATGAAAATTAATTGAGGCAGATACACTTGTTTGTTGATATATGGGCGATTTTAGATATCATGTAGAGGTACAGCAAAAATGAAAAATGTGGTCAGGACAAATGTAAAAGTTGTCAGCAGTAGCTAGTGGATGCAAACAAAACTGCTGAATGGTGTTTTTAATTTCTGTCTTGTCCAGAACATCTAGGTGAGTAGATTCTCTAGTGTGCTGTGAAGGTTGAGAAATTTAGGGCTCTTTCAGGTGAAGGAAATGGAAGAGGCTTTAATATTCTGAAGCCTTTTGCGAAAAATGACATAGGTCCATACCTGCCCTCACTACTGTCAGTCTGTGGGACATGCAGTGCTGGTGTGAGACTCCCCTGCTTTGCTAACCTCAGATTTCTTTCATGTGTTGTACAACCACCAAGGGGACTGGTAGTTTCCATATTAGAGGCTCCATCTTTGGCTTTCTGTGGCAATGGTTGGTTTGTATAAACATAGTGGTTTAGCTGGGCAGAGGGTGGCCCAGTTATCAACTTTCATCGTGTGATGCTTGACCTCCTAACTCATTTGATCTCTGTGTAGGGCAAGTGGGGTGTAACTGCGTCAGAAGATGAAGAAGAGAGTAAAAGGATGAAAGAATTTCAAGACTCGATACCCAAAATGTGCTCACAGCTGCGAATACTCACTCACTTTTACCAGGTGCCCCTTAGATTATATCTTTTTTAATATGGATACTGAGCTTTGATATGTAGAAATCAATTTCAAATATTGTGTAGGTGTAACTTCTGTGTTTGTGGATCTAGGTCTTCATTTTTTTGCTTTTCTACTTAGAAGCCTATATTCACTGTTCCTCAGTAGACAGTAGGTTTTGTGATCGTGTATGTTCCTCTGACAAAGGGGAATAGTTATTTCATGTAAGTGTCCTCCTTCTTCCAGTAGTGGAAGTAATAGCTATCTCCTGGTGTAATCTGAAAAAAAAAAAATTCCTTCTGCATTCTGTTTTTTTTTTCACTATCTCTCCAAGTCATTGCTACTAAAGACTGCAAAAAGGGTCCTTATTTATTAAGGGCCTAACACTTGATTTTCAGTGCATTGAGATGGCCGGTGGGTAAGCTGTTTGGGGGAATGTGCACAGGCTATCTTCCTTAATGGTAATTCTTCTGGCTTTGTCTCAATTTGTTGTATCTGATTCTAAATCTCCCATTCCCCAGAAAAGTAAGCTGTTAGGTATCAGGGAAATCATTCCAGAAAGTGATGCAAGGGAGAGACACAACACTATGCCACGGCAGCCTTTCAGGATTAGACGCTAGATCAACTGAAAACCAAAACCCTCTCCCAACTCATCTCTTGACTTTGACATGTGAGATACTCTTGATGGAGCGTAGTGTACCTTTTAACTTCTCTTGTTTGTCACTTTTGGCATGCCTGAAGTTAGGATTTTTTAATAATGCTGATATTGAGTTTGGCTTAAAGCTGTAGGGCCTGCTCTCTTCCTTCCTGCTGTTGGTATTTCTTGTATCTTTCTTTCTTATTTTAATATCCATAAATACACTTTTAGACAAATACTAAACATGTAAGCATGCATTCTTTCCCTGGATAAATGAATGAGCTTGAAGTAGTTTTCCTGGGTTGTCACCCATACATTCATTTTACCTTGTAAGAGTACAATTGGTTCTTTATAGCAGCTATAGTTGTGACTTAGCACTTGTGTAGCTTCTGCAGAGCACTTCCCAATCCAACTCTCTGGTGATCTGCATCAGATGCATTTCTGTATTGCCTTATAGCTTTGCCAAGCTATAGCTACCCTGGAGAAAGTGCTGCATTGTCAAAGAGTTCAGTTCATGTGGAAGTTTGAAGGAAAATAGAATGGTGCGCCCAGGTTATAAAATACTTGTGGCTTTTGTTGAAGGTTGTAGAGATCCTAAGTTTTGATGCGAGGACTTTGAATCTGGGAGGAATTTGTTCCTGGGTCCATATATTGCAGTTCTCGCTCACAGAGGGAAAAGGAGCCGAATTCTTTAAGTGTAGGCTGTGAATAGATTGTAGTTTGTGTGCTCTACAGGATTGCTACAAGTTGGCAATGTAGCTTTTGCCTGCTTGGACTGTATTCCTGTTGAGCCCAACTATGGATTTTCCATGCAGGACTTCCCTGTCCAGCCTCGGTCATCTTTGGAAGTAACGGGGTGCTCTAGTTATGGGTGTGCCCATGTTAGAATTTAGTGGAGATCAGGAATGAGCTCTTCAAGTGAGTCTTCCCATCTGCCCAAAGTCCTCTCCTTTCCTGCATGCTGTGGAGCTCCTGCAGTCCATTGGCTAGAGCTGAATGGGAAGACGGGCTCCAGAAGCGCAGCTCCCGCCTGCCGAGTGCACATCCCGCGTACAAACCGCTCCGAACGCGTAGAGTCTGGCTGCTGGGTCTGTAGCAGTGACCGCCCTAACTGGCAAATGCTCTTCTGAGCTGGGGTGGCACTTGCTGCTGTATAACTGACATCAAATAGTTTTGAAGTGATTTTTGAAGCAAGTGGTGGTCTCATGCTGGCCTGGCCAGCATTGTATATATAATGTGGAAACAAGGTGAGATCTTCTGTTGGCACGGGTTGGGTCCTGGATGGTGCCCCAGGTACGGTGGGGCTGCCCTGGGAGGGCTGGGGCAGTGGCACAGGGGCTGCTCCTCTGCAGCCCAGGAGCCCTCAGATGGATGGAGGGTGCCAGCAGGGCACGGGGAGAGCGGTTTAAAAGACCGAGCTGTTTGCGCTGGAGGCTCTGACGTGCATGGCAGACATTTGAAGATAACGTGAAGCTCTGGGTTTTTGCAGAAAGAGTGACTCTAGCAGAACAGATTTGCTAGCAGTTGGATATAAACACTTATGCTTGTCCTTTGCCGGATTCCCTCTGCCTCCTTGCCAGGCCTGGGCACCACCTGGCATCGTTGTGCAAAACACATCAGTGATGTCGTCTTAACTGTCTCTTGGGTTTTTCTTTCTCCTCCAGGGAATCGTCCAGCAGTTCTTGGTCCTGCTAACAACCAGTTCTGATGAAAGCCTTCGGTTTCTTAGCTTTAGATTGGACTTCAATGAACATTATAAAGCAAGAGAGCCAAGGCTTCGCGTATCCTTGGGCACCAGAGGCAGACGAAGCTCACATATGTGAAACAGCTGCGAAGGACTGCACCTCGGTATCCGAAGGTTGTTGAACCTCTTATTGGACAAGGCAATCAGTGTTGACATAATACAGCCAAATCGTGCGTGATCGGTGTCTACCATTTCTGCAGGCAACATGTTTTCAGTCGTGTGATTGTGTGACACTGTATAGCAGAACGCAAAAAAGTAGGGTTTTTTTTACACTGACGTTTCTAGAATTACCAGACTAAATGGGCTGATTGAACCTCTTCCAATCAACTTCTTAAGTCATCCTTTTAAACAAATGCCAATTTAATTTGAAGCTTTCTGAGCTCTCCCCACTGTAACTTATATCTGTGTCAAGGAAATTGCATCTTTTGTTTATAGAAAGCACCATTTCCTTTTTTAACCAGAAAATAAGAAGGTTATTTTTTCTATACGTACTTGTTCTATTTGAAGAGAGCTTTTGTTAAAGCCAACAGATTAGGACCCAGACCTAATGTCCTTGTTAAGAAGCTATACAGCATTTCATTATGCTGATTTTCAGTGTTGTGATGTGTTTGACTGTGTGAGAAACTTTGTATCAGGAGACATACACTTATATTTAATTTTTTTTGTTGTTGTTTTCAGCGTTAACAAACTGAAATAAAAAATTTAGTAGGGAAATTCTATGGTTACTGTACAGGAGAAAACTGTAGAAGCAGAGCGGGAGTGTATCTATTGCACATAAGATCTAAAAAATGAAGTTAAAGCCTCAGTACTGTCAAAGGAAAGTGTTGGTTAAGACCGAACTGAATGAAATAACTGATATTCAAAATCAGATGTGTGGAAACAGACTGGCTTGGCTGATGTTGACTTCATTCTCTTCCCTTCCCTATTTTTTCATTGTAAATATTTATATATTGCTGTCCAGATGTTGGGGAGAGGGGGATTCTTCTTTTGCAAAGTTGTCATTATATCAGGTCATTTATTATGTTCCACAAGTGCAAGCTTAGAAAAATAAAAACACGATTATCTTTCAAATAAGCGTTTTGCTTTTTCTAATTGAAAGATTATTTTTCCAGAGGGTAAGAAAGGAGAAGCTTCCAGTTAGGAGTGTTGATTTACAGATTCCTGCCCATTACAGGACTTTGGTACTAGTCTTATCTATACTTAAGAGTTATGTGTCATTCATTAATTAACAATTACCCTCAGATGGACTAGGTCTGTGGCCTTTTTTGCCTTCTGCCTTACCCTGCTTGAACCCAGGCACCTGCCAGGCCATGCAGGCAGGGCTGCTGCGAGTCGTGAGGGAGGTGAGCTCTCGTGGAGACAATGCACCAACTTGCAGCCCTGGACTAGCAGGTTTGCCTTCCAAACACCAGGATTCCCATTACTGTGCAGGCCTTGGAGTCCTTGCTTTTGTTAAATAAAACATGTAAGGCTTTTAACCCTGTGCCCTTAAGAGGACCTGCTGATGCAGCTACCTTCATGGAGGGTACTTGCAGGTAGCGTTTCAGCTGTAAGAAAATATGGACTCTGAAGGCGGTGATGTTCTGTGTTGTCACAGGAGAGCTGAAGGATGCTGAGCTTGGCATAACAAGGTCACAAATCACTTGACAGGCAAGAGTACTCTGTTTTTGTGGTTGTGGTGGGAGCGTATTGTTTGTGTAAGAAAGAACTACAAAGCTTACATGTTTTGGCCAAAACTGTTGGGGAAAAAAAATTAGCTGGATGTGCACTGTTTTGGCCATTGCCTTGAGAGACATCACCTGATCCCGTGTGTCACTAGACGATCCGCAGGCCAGAGAGGCAGCATCAATGTCAAAACTAGAGGACAAGTTGCAGAGGAAGGTTTAGTTCCCTTCGCTGCTAAAATGGATCCAGCGGTACACAGGAAACCTGCAATGGTGGCCTTGCTGAGAATGATCATTGTGAGATGATTCTGCAGAAATCTGTCCATCTGGGGAAGAGTCCTCACTGCTGCTGGAGCTGCTCTGACTGCCAGGCTGAGGGGATCGTTTTGAACACAAGGCACGGAATACCTGGGCTGCTGGGGACCTGCCGTTGTCCTCAGTGCTTCTTTGTGGGTGGGGAGCAGTCTTTTATCCCCTAACCCAGCAGCTGTCACGTTTATTTCAGTCTACATGTATTTTTGTAGCTTCTGATCCTACAATTAAAATTGATCAGCTGTGGTGTAACAAGCATAGCTTGAGGAAGCCAGTGACCCCTTTTCAAGTAAGATGGAGCAATGAAAAAAATAGACAAAAAGATGAGTCTGTGATCATCTGTTGGCCCTATACTGTTAGGGCCAGATTCTCATTGAGATAGTGGATCAAAACTTGAGCAATAAATACTTCAAATATTCCTTTGGGCTTGGAAATAACTATATTAACAGCGTTGTCATAATAAATTGTGTGAGAGCGCCAACATTTCAAACCAGAGCAGAAAATTATGACTTGATGTGTCCATAAATATTTGAAAGGCAAGGTGTAGAATAACCTGTCCAGCTCTGCAGGAAAATCCTCTGGAAGCGGATGGGAACTGTTCCTGCCATCTTCAGTTTCTCAGGCAATGGCATCCATTCTTGTCTCAGAGGTTGCTTTGCCCGTGCCTGTACCTGGGGAAGAGCCATCACCACTCTTGGATCCTCTCTGACCACCAGGTTAGGGGGAAGTTTCTAAATCCCTGGCACGGAGTAACTGGACCAGTTTTGCTGGAAGATGTGCTGGAAAAGGATGGGAGCAAGTGATGTCATCTTTGATTTTTATGGCAGTTTCAGCTGTGTTGGCTTTTTTTTTTTCCTTTCACTGATTTATGCTTTACCTTCACCTGCAGCTGGGTCTTCCCTCTTTGGGGCACTGTCAGCATTACCTAGTGCGGCTTCTCTGCAAAAACAAAGCACAGCTTTCATGAAAGAATCTTCATCAATACGAAGGAGAGAGACTAATTTTATAAAGCTCTTGCAACAGAAATGCCGACCGAGCTGCTCACAGCTAACCGCGCTCCAGGATGCTGTCCCTAGAAATGCTTCACTGCATGAAGCAGCTGTCCAACCAAAAATACAAGGAAAACCAACTCACCCTTTTCTCTTCTGCAGCAGCAATTTAACCAGGTGACCCAAAGGTGATTTTGGAAGAAGAAAATGTGGGATAAGCAGATAAAAACGGCCAGTCATGTGTAAATAGGGTGCTGGTCAGTAAGTTTTTCTAGCCTTACTCTTCACCTGCTCAGTGCAGCCTGTCCTGTCTCCTTACTAAATCCCCTTTCCTGGGTGTGTGTGATGGGGATCTGAGTGCAGCAACTGGAGTGGGATTGCGGGTGGGAGGTGTGCCTGTGGTGCCAGCACCTGCAGACACTGCAGCGACAGCTCGGACGCGTGCGGAGGTGAGAGGGTCCAGGGGTCAGCTGCTGGCTAGACTGTGTGTGTAAGCTCAGCTACTGGGGAGGGAGATCCCCATTTGTACTGCGAGCCTTGTGGAAGGTGGTGTATTCAAGGAGTCAGTGATGTTGGACAGAGGTGTCTGCTCTGCTGGGCCTCGTACCTGGGGCTTGAGCAGCCTGAATGTCAGCATGAGCAGCTGCTGTACAGGGACCTGATGGAGCGCCCTGTGCCAGTCCATCCTGTGCAACAGGGCGTGGGAAGAAGGAAACCCTCCATGGATGGGACCTGTGCAGTGCCCACGGGAAGATCCATCCAGGCTCCGTCTGGTGCTGCACAAAGGCAGGATGTCCAGCAGCTGAAGGGGTGTAAGTTTTATTTGCTGCCAGTACTCCTCTTTTTATCCTATTTATATTCCTGGTTTTCTTCTGTCATATTAAAACATCTATTTGGTGAAGCCATTTGTTGTCAGGCCTTTCTTCCTGAGATCTAGAAAAAACCCTGCACCCTCTCTCTCCTAGTGTGGAATAACATTGTACTTATTATTATAAGTAATATATATATACATTATCTGTTAGTGGGAGATACAGATATATAGATCTCCCACTAATAAATAATATATCTATACCTCCCACTAATGGACCTCCATCCAGCTCAGCCAGGGAGAGAAGCAGGATGAGGCCGTTGGTGCTGCCTGTGTTCTCATGAGTGCTCTGTGTGTCTGTCTGCGTTGACCTGTGTGGTCAGCCACATATATACACGTATGTGGTGTGTACGTGTGCTCTGTGTGCTTGTGCCTATGGGAGATGCATCCTGAGCCTTCCCACTGCTTGGACCTGAGGCGGTGGAGCTGTGGCAGCCTCGCGTCTGTCAGGCTGCTGGGTTCAGCAATTCCTAACAAAAGTGTGAGAGGAATGATCTTATATTTCATTTGTACCTCCAGATCAATACTGAATTCCACATAAATGTATGTACTTAATGTAAAAGTTGACAACTTCCTTCTGCTGCGACTGCACCAAGTGTCTTACCTTGTAGTGAGTGGCAGCAGCAACGTTCAGGTACATTTCTAAAGAGAAACAGGAGTTTTTACTTTATTTTTTAACATTGAACTGCTTATGTACTGCAATCAAAGAGTATCATCCTTAACAACACAGTCACTATACAAGGCTATTCTGTATTTTGTAAGGTATGTAATGCAGGTTTCTGGCTGGTAATTTCAACCTTTTTCTGTTGGAGCTACAATGTCTGAAAATACAAATACAGCTGAGGGCCGAAGCAGCCTTGTTTCCAGGGTGAAACAGGCCCAGTTCCTCCTACTCTTTGCGTCCTATCCCAGGGCCATTGCTAACTGACCCTGCATGCTCAGCCCCTTGCTTTTCAGAGTTGCCAAGGGCTGAAGAAATTTCCGAGAAACTGCAGTAGAAATGCAGAAACCGAGGGTAAAATTGTCACCTACCTTAGGATGTCGTACAATATGTGAAACTCTTCCGGGGTGAAGGGCTATCCATGTGGTGCTACCAGTATCATAAATACATCAGAAAGGAAAAGAACTGGAAAGCACTTATATCTTAGTCTTTTAAACTACAAGGGATTTTTGTTCTGGTAACTGACATGGAAACTGTATCTTAACCAATACGAACTCTGAAGAAGAAAAGCTTTAAAAACAGCCCCTGAAAATTTCATCTCCCTCTGTAAGTTAAAATAGCTCCACTGACTCAGGGTACAGTACGATGCAATTTAATATTGAGGAAACATCCACCAAGAAATGCAGAAGCCCATGATATAGTGTATTTTTCAGGGAATTAGTTATAGGTTTAGGCTAGGAGATCAAGGACAGAACATAATCATAATCCAGTTTTATTCTAGTGATTCTATTTTTCACTCAAGGTCCTGTGGATTTTCTCCTCTTAAACCAGATGCAGTGAACAAATGCCATGGTCTCTCAACTACATATGAGGATGCTG